GGTGTATGGGGCATCTATAGAGTGTATGGGGCGTCTGTATGGTGTATGGGGTGTCTGTATGGTGTATGGGGCATCTATAGAGTGTATGGGGCGTCTGTATGGTGTATGGGGCGTCTGTATGGTGTATGGGGCATCTGTATGGTGTATGGGGCGTCTATAGAGTGTATGGGGCATCTGTATGGTGTATGGAACACGTATGTGGTGTATGGAACACGTATGTGGTGTATGGAACACATATGTGGTGTATGGCACACATATGTGGTGTATGGAACACGTATGTGGTGTATGGCACATGTATGTGGTGTATGGAACACGTATGTGGTGTATGGAACACGTATGTGGTGTATGGAACACGTATGTGGTGTATGGCACACGTATGTGGTGTATGGAACACGTATGTGGTGTATTGCGCATGTATGTGGTGTATGGCGCATCTGTGTTTTATGGCGCACCTCTGTGGTGTATGACACATATATGTGGTGTATTGCACACATATGTGGTGTATGGCACACCTTTGTGTTGTACGGCACATGTATGTGGTGTAAGGCACACCTCTATGGTGTATTGCACATCTATGTGGTGTATGGCACACCTATAAGGTGTATTGCACACCTGTATGGTGTATGGCACACCTGTATGGTGTATGGCACACCTCTATGGTATATGGCACACCTATGTGGTGTATGGCACACCTATATGGTGTATGGCACACCTATGTGGTGTATGGCACACCTCTATGGTGTATGGCACACCTATGTGGTGTATGGCACACCTATATGTTGTATGGCACACCTCTATGGTGTATGGCACACCTCTATGGTGTATGGCACACCTATGTGGTGTATGGCACACCTCTATGGTGTATGGCACACCTCTATGGTGTATGGCACACCTATATGTTGTATGGCACACCTATGTGGTGTATGGCACACCTATATGTTGTATGGCACACCTATATCGTGTATGGCACACCTCTATGGTGTATGGCACACCTATATGGTGTATGGCACACCTATATGTTGTATGGCACACCTCTATGGTGTATGGCACACCTCTATGGTATATGGCACACCTATATGTTGTATGGCACACCTATATGTTGTATTGCACACCTATATGTTGTATGGCACACCTATGTGGTGTATGGCACACCTATATGTTGTATGGCACACCTCTATGGTGTATGGCACACCTATGTGTTGTATTGCACACCTGTGTGGTGTATGGCACACCTCTGTGGTGTATGGCACACCTATGTGTTGTATGGCACACCTATGTGTTGTATGGCACACCTATATGTTGTATGGCACACCTATGTGTTGTATGGCACACCTCTATGGTGTATGGCACACCTCTATGTTGTATGGCACACCTATATGTTGTATGGCACACCTATATGTTGTATGGCACACCTGCACATTCCATCACACGCACACGCGGTGCTTCGCGTGCTGGTGCGCGGTGCCTTGCCTGGCTGTGTGTGTTGCACGCCTGGGGGGTGTACTGCAGGTACAAGCAGAGCGCTGCACACTTGTGGGGTGGACCCCGAGTAAGCGGTGTGTTGCGTGCTCCTGACGTGTGTTACAGCCGAAAGCAGCGCTGCGGGCCCAGGGTAGGTGTCAGAGGTGTGACATAGGGTGTATCAGCCCATAGGGTGTATCAGCCGCAGGCGTGAGCAGCGTGGTGCACGCCTGTAAGGGTGTACTGCAGGTACAACCAATGCGTTGCACACCCATAGCGCTGGGAGCAGCATGTTGCATGCCCAGAGGGTGTACTGCATGCGTGAGCGGTGTGTTCCATGCTCATAGTGTGTGTGGCAGGCACGGGCAGCGTGGTTCACACCCGTAGGGTGTATCTCAAGCACGAGCAGTGTGTTGCACAGCCACAGGCTGTATTATAGGTACAGGCAGTGTGTTGCACAGCCACAGGCTGTATTACAGGTACAGGCAGTGTTGCACACTCGTAGTGTGCGTTACAGGCATGGGCAGTGTGTTTCACACCCGTAGGGTGTATCTCAAGCGCGAGCAGCGTGTTGCACAGCCACAGGCTGTATTACAGGTACAGGCAGTGTGTTGCACAGCCACAGGCTGTATTACAGGTACAGGCAGTGTGTTGCATGCTCACAGGCTGTATTGCACCTGCAAGCAGTGTGTTGCACACCTGCAGGCTGTACCCCAGGTACAAGCCACCTTTTGCACACCCGCAGGGGGTACCCCAGGTACGAGCCGCCTGTTGCACACCCGCGGGGGGTACCCCAGGTGCGAGCCACCTGTTGCACGCCTGCATGGGGTACCCCAGGTACGAGCAGCCTGTTGCACACCCACGGGCTGTATCCCAGGTACGAGCCGCCTGTTGCACACCCACAGGGGGTACCCCAGGTACAAGCAGCCTGTTGCACACCCATGGGCTGTATCCCAGGTACGAGCCGCCTGTTGCTCCCCCGCGGGCTGTACCCCAGGTTCAAGCCGCCTGTTGCTCCCCCGCGGGCTGTCCCGCAGGCACCCCCATCCCACCGCCCAGCCATGGGGTGCATCCCAGGCACCCCCATCCCGCGTGTGTGTGTTGGGGGGGGGTGTCCCCGGGGGACCCTCGTGCGTCACCGGCTCTTGGCCGCTCCCGGCGGCCGCTGACGGGGAGCGGTGACGCGCGAGGGCTCATCCGGATGCCGGGAAGCGGGGCCGGGTCCATCCCGACCTTTGCCCGCCGTGGGGACCCGGCCTCGCTCCGTGTCCCTGTTCCCAGCCTCCAGCCCCCTCGGTCCCCCCTTTGCCCCCGTGCTGCTGCCTGCGGTGCTGCCGTGCCCAAATATAACCCAGCGGGAATGCCGCGAGCCGCGCTCGCTCCGGACCATATAAAGGATTGTTGCTGCGGCGCATGGAGGGGAGCCCAGAGGGGTCAGAACCCCCCCCCTCCCCTCGCTCCGGGATAACGGGGCTGATGGGGCCGCCCTATGGAGGGAGCTGCTCCGTTGGGGTGGGATGGGCGCAGAGCCGCCCTGCCTCGGGTTCCCCCCTTGCGGGTTGGCACCGGGACAAGGGGTTGGTGCCATGCCCGCGGCCGGGGGGAGCCCATTGCCGCAACTGGGGGGTCCCCATGGCCACAAGTGTGAAGTCTCTGGAGCCACAGAGGGGTGTCCCTGTACCCAGAGGTGTGCACATGACCGCAGCCGAGGTGTCCCCATTCCCATAGCCGAGGTGTCCCTATACCCACGGACAAGGTGTCCCTAAACCCACAGCTGCCGTGTCCCCATGCACACAGGTCCCTATAGCCACAGCCAAGGTGTCCCCATGCCCACAGTCAGGCTGTTCCCATGCCCACAACTGAGGTGTCCCTATACCCACAACTGAGATGTCCCTATACCCACAACTGAGATGTCCCTATACCCACAACTAAGATGCCCCTATGCCCACAACTGAGATGTCTCTATACCCACAACTGAGATGCCCCTATACCCACAACTGAGGTGGCCCTATGCCCACAACTGAGATCTCCCTATACCCACATCTGGGGTGTCCCTACACCCATAACTGAGATGTCCCTATACCCATAACTAAGATGCCCCTATGCCCACAACTGAGATGCCCCTATACCCATAACTGAGATGCCCCTATACCCACAACTGAGATGTCTCTATGCCCACAACTGAGATGTCCCTATACCCACAACTGAGGTGCCCCTATACCCACAACTGAGATGCCCCTATACCCATAACTGAGATGCCCCTATACCCACAACTGAGATGTCCCTATACCCACAACTGAGATGTCTCTATGCCCACAACTGAGATGTCCCTATACCCACAACTGAGGTGCCCCTATACCCACAACTGAGATGCCCCTATACCCATAACTGAGATGCCCCTATACCCACAACTGAGATGTCCCTATACCCACAACTGAGATGCCCCTATACCCACAACTGAGATGCCCCTATACCCACAACTGAGATGTCCCTATGCCCACAACTGAGATGTCCCTATACCCACAACTGAGATGTCCCTATACCCACAACTGAGGTGCCCCTATACCCACAACTGAGGTGCCCCTATACCCACAACTGAGGTGCCCCTATACCCACATCTGGGGTGTCCCTATACCCACAACTGAGATGCCCCTATACCCACAACTGAGATGCCCCTATACCCATAACTGAGATGTCCCTATACCCATAACTGAGATGTCCCTGTACCCACAACTGAGATGCCCCTATACCCATAACTGAGATGTCCCTATACCCACAACTGAGATGTCCCTATACCCATAACTGAGATGTCCCTATACCCACATCTGGGGCGTCCCTATACCCACAACTGAGATGTCTCTATACCCACAACTGAGATGCCCCTATACCCACATCTGGGGTGTCCCTATACCCACAACTGAGATGCCCCTATACCCACAACTGAGATGCCCCTATACCCACATCTGGGGTGTCCCTATACCCACAACTGAGATGCCCCTATACCCACAACTGAGATGCCCCTATACCCACATCTGGGGTGTCCCTATACCCACAACTGAGATGCCCCTATACCCACATCTGGGGTGTCCCTGTACCCACAACTGAGATGTCCCTATACCCACAACTGAGATGCCCCTATACCCACAACTGAGATGTCCCCATACCCACAACTTAGATGTCCCTATACCCACAACTGAGATGTCCCTATACCCACAACTGAGATGTCCCCATACCCACAACTTAGATGTCCCTATACCCACAACTGAGATGCCCCCATACCCACAACTGAGATGTCCCTGTACCCACAACTGAGATGTCCCTATACCCACAACTGAGATGTCTCTATGCCCACATCTGGGGTGTCCCTATGCCCACAGCTCCCCCTGCCCACCCTCAGGGTTTCCCCACGCCCAAAGCCCGTCCCTGTGTATCCCCACAACCAAGGCTCCCCTATGCCCAACCCGCGGCGTCCCCGTGCTCCCAGCCGGGGTGTCCCTGGCCCCGGTTTGCCCCGGTGCTGAGGCTCCGTGTCCCCGCAGGAGACTCTTGGGGGATCTTCACGTTCCTTTGTGCCGCGCTCTGCCACCTGCCCGCGCTGCCGGCGCTGAACTGCACCGAGGAGCTGGGCCCCGGCCACTCCATCCAGAAGACCTACGACCTGACCCGCTACCTGGAGCACCAGCTCCGCACCCTCGCCGGCACCTACGTGAGTTGGGGTCACCCGAACCCTAAAGCCACAATGGGGAGGGGGGGGTCCCCTCTTTATCCTCCCTGTGCTCATCGCATCCCACCCGGACCTGCTGCGCACAGGGTGTGCGTGCCCCTGTGCACCCCCATAACGGGGATGGGGTGGGGGGACACACAGTATGGGGTAGCACAAGGTGGAGCCCCCCATAGGAAAGGGGATGGAGTGGCTGCCCCATTGCCAGCAGCCAGGGATGCCCCTGCCTGCATGTAAAGGAGGGTGTGCACATGTGTGCGTGCGTGTGGTGTGCACTGGGTTGGATGCGTGCACGTGTGCCCGCACACACGTGTACATCAGTGTGCCTGCATCCCTGTGCCCGCACACACGTGTACATCAGTGTGCCTGCATCCCTGTGCCCGCACACACATGTACATCCCTGTGCCCGCACACACGTGTACATCAGTGTGCCTGCATCCCTGTGCCCGCACACACGTGTACATCAGTGTGCCTGCATCCCTGTGCCCGCACACACGTGTACATCAGTGTGCCTGCATCCCTGTGCCCGCACACACGTGTACATCCCTGTGCCTGCATCCCTGTGCCCGCACACACGTGTACATCCCTGTGTCTGCATCCCTGTGCCCGCACACACGTGTACATCAGTGTGCCTGCATCCCTGTGCCCACACACACGTGTACATCCCTGTGCCCACACACACGTGTACACCCCTGTGCCTGCATCCCTGTGCCCGCACACACATGTACATCCCTGTGCCCACACACACGTGTACACCCCTGTGCCTGCATCCCTGTGCCCACACACACGTGTACATCCCTGTGCCAGCACACACATGTACATCAGTGTACCTGCATCCCTGTGCCCACACACACATCCCTGTGCCTACACACATCAGTGTGCCTGCATCCCTGTGTCCGCACACATGTGTACATCCCTGTGTCCACACACACATGTACATCCCTGTGCCTGCACACACGTGTACATCAGTGTGCCTGCATCCCTGTGCCCACACACACGTGTACATCCCTGTGCCTGCATCCCTGTGCCCACACACGTGTACATCCCTGTGCCTGCACACACATGTACATCAGTGTGCCCGCATCCCTGTGCCCACACACACGTGTACATCCCTGTGCCCACACACATGTGTACATCCCTGTGCCCGCACACACATGTACATCCCTGTGCCCGCACACACGTGTACACCCCTGTGCCTGCATCCCTGTGCCCACACACACGTGTACATCCCTGTGCCTGCATCCCTGTGCCCACACACGTGTACATCCCTGTGCCTGCACACACGTGTACATCAGTGTGCCTGCATCCCTGTGCCCACACACACATGTACATCCCTGTGCCCGCACACACGTGTACACCCCTGTGCCTGCATCCCTGTGCCCGCACACACGTGTACATCAGTGTGCCCGCATCCTTGTGCCCACACACACGTGTACATCCCTGTGCCTGCACACCCATGTACACCCCTGTGCCCGCACACCCATGCATGCGTGTGCACCGTGTGTATCTGCACACACAAGGCGCAGTCAGCGCTGCCCATCCCTGCCCGTGCCTCCCGCACACGCGTGTCCCGCACACGCCTGCAGGGACGTGTTTGCTCTCCCCTGCCCTCACCCAATGCCACCGCCCTGGCCCAGGGCTCTGCTGCTCCCATGGGTGCACCCGCGCCCCAGGCCAGGGAATGGCTCATCCGCCCCGGGTGTGGGCAGGGCACAGATAGCGTGCAGGCAGGGTGCAGGGTGCAGGCAGGGTGCAGGGTGCAGGCAGGGTGTGCAGGATGGGTGCAGGGTGTAGGCAGGATGGGTGCAGGGTGTAGGCAGGTTGCAAGCAGGGTGCGGGCAGGGGGCAGCCTGGGTGCAGGGTGTAGGCATGGTGCAGGCAGGGTGTGGGCATGGTGCAGGCAGGGTGTGGGCATGGTGCAGGCAGGGTGCAGGGTGCAGGCAAGGTTCAGGCAGGGTGCAGCAGGCAGGGTAGGTGCAGGGTGCAGGGTGCAGGGTGCAGGCAGGGTGCAGTATGCAGGGTACAGGCAGGGTACAGGCAGGGTGCAGGGTCCAGACAGGGTCCAGGCAGGTTGCAGGGTAGGCAGAGCATGCAGGCAGTGCAGGGTGCAGGTACAGGCAGGGTGCAGGGGGCAGGGTACAGGCAGGGTGCAGGGTACAGGCAGGATACAGGCAGGGTGCAGCGTGCAGGGTCCAGGCAGGTTGCAGGGTCCAGGCAGGTTGCAGGGTACAGGCAGGGTGCAGCATGCAGGGTCCAGGCAGGGTCCAGGCAGGTTGCAGGGTACAGGCAGGGTGCAGCATGCAGGCAGGGTGCAGCATGCAGGCAGCGTGCAGGGTACAAGATACAGGCAGGTTGCAGGGTGCAGGCAGGGTGCAGGGTGCCTGTATCTGCCTGTCCCTGCCCGCTGGCTCCTCCACCTCTGCCCTGCCGTGCCTTTTGGGGTGCTGGCAATGACGAGGGTGGCTGCACCGTGGGGCTGGGTGCGGGACGGGGCTGCTCAACCCCACCCATGGGTGCCTCTGGGTGTGCTGTGCTGCCTGCAGCTGTGGGCACGGGCTGGGGGCCTGGGGTGGGATGGGGATGGGGACATGGAGGCTGGGGCCATGGGAGGCAGGGAGATGGGACATGGTGGCCCCTTCCCCTCTGGGGACATGGAGCCTGGGGACCTGATGGGAAGGGGCATGTGATGGGCAAGGAGGGACATGGAGACCTGGGACATGGTTGGCAGGGGGACACGGAGACCTGGAAAGAGGGGGGTGTATCCAAGGTGTGGGATGTGGAGACCTGGAATATGGTGGGCACATGCACCTGGGGACATGGAAAGGAGGACACAGAGACGGGGACCAAGGTGGGCAGAAGGACTTGGGGACCTGGGGCAAGTAGGACATGGAGACAGGGGGACACGGCGGGCAGTGGGGCATGAAGACCTGCAAAGAGGGGGGCATGTCCAAACGGGAGGACATAGAAGCCTGGGACATGGTGGGTATGTGGGGGACAGGGGATGTGGACAAGGGGACATAGAGACCTGGGATGAGGGGGACATGGAGATGGGGGATGTGGGCAGGGGGACGTGGGTACCTGGATGAGAGGGACATGCGTACCTGGATGAGGGGGACATGGGAACCTGGATGAGGGGGACATGGGTACCTGGATGAGAAGGACATGGGTACTTGGATGAGGGAGAAATGGGTACCTGGATGAGGGGGACATGGATGCAGGGGATGTGGGCAGGGGTACATGGGTACCTGGATGAGGAGGACATTTGTACCTGGATGAGGGGGACGTGGGTACCTGGATGAGGAGGACATTTGTACCTGGATGAGAGGGACGTGGGTACCTGGATGAGAGGGACATGGGTACCTGGATGAGGAGGACATTTGTACCTGGATGAGGGGGACATGGGTACCTGGATGAGAGGGACGTGGGTACCTGGATAAGGGGGATGTGGGTACCTGGATGAGAGGGACTGGGTACCTGCATGAGAGGGACATGGGTACCTGGATGAGAAGGACATGGGTACCTGGATGAGGGAGAAATGGGTACCTGGATGAGGAGGACATGGATGCAGGGGATGTGGGCAGGGGTACATGGGTACCTGGATGAGGGTACATGGGTACCTGGATGAGAAGGACATGGGTACTTGGATGAGGGAGAAATGGGTACCTGGATGAGGAGGACATGGATGCAGGGGATGTGGGCAGGGGTACATGGGTACCTGCATGAGGGTACATGGGTACCTGGATGAGAAGGACATGGGTACTTGGATGAGGGAGAAATGGGTACCTGGATGAGGAGGACATGGATGCAGGGGATGTGGGCAGGGGTACATGGGTACCTGGATGAGGGTACATGGGTACCTGGATGAGAAGGACATGGGTACTTGGATGAGGGAGAAATGGGTACCTGGATGAGAGGGACGTGGATACCTGGATGAGGAGGACATTTGTACCTGGATGAGGGGGACATGGGTACCTGGATGAGAAGGACATGGGTACTTGGATGAGGGAGAAGTGGGTACCTGGATGAGGGGGACATGGGGACCTGGATGAGAGGGACGTGGGTACCTGGATAAGAGGGATGTGGGTACCTGGATGAGGGGGACACGGGTACCTGGATGAGAAGGACATGGGTACCTGGATGAGGGGTACATGGGTACCTGGATGAGGGAGAAATGGGTACCTGGATGAGGGGGACGTGGGTACCTGGATGAGGGGGACATGGGAACCTGGATGAGAAGGACGTGGGTACCTGGATGAGAAGGACATGGGTACCTGGATGAGAGGGACGTGGATACCTGGATGAGGAGGACATTTGTACCTGGATGAGGGGGACGTGGGTACCTGGATGAGAGGGACGTGGGTACCTGGATGAGAAGGACGTGGGTACCTGGATGAGAAGGACATGGGTACTTGGATGAGGGAGAAATGGGTACCTGGATGAGGGGCACGTGGACACAGGTTGCAGGAGGGACCCAGAGACCCCGGTGCAAGCCGCACACGAACCCAGGCGCTCGAGCTGCACCACTCATGGCACTGCACCCATCACCCCCATACCCCCCTCCCCACTTTTCATCCCTTCCAGCTGAACTACCTGGGCCCCCCTTTCAATGAGCCCGACTTCAACCCCCCGCGCCTGGCCCGAGCCGAGCGGGTGCCCAGCGCCACGGTGGACCTGGACCTGTGGCGGGGCCTGACCGACAACGCTCGCCTGGCCGCCAACTACCGCGCCTACAGCCGGGTGCTGTGCTCGCTGCGGGCGCTGGACGCGCAGGGCACGGCCGAGCTGCGCCATCGCCTCGGCCACTTCTGCTCCAGCCTGCAGGGGCTGGTGCTGAGCATCGCGGGGGTCATGTCCTCCCTCGGCTACCCGCTGCCCGCCGGACCCCCAGCCTCACCCAATGGGGTCCCCGCGCAGCCCGGGGGGGGGCCCCCCAATGACTTCCTAAAGAAGATGGATGATTTCTGGCTGCTGAAGGAGCTGCAGACCTGGCTGTGGCGCTCGGCCAAGGACTTCAACCGCCTCAAGAAGAAGGTGCCGCCGGCGGTGGTGACGCTGAGGATGGAGGCGAGGGGGTTCTGAGGTGCCCGCGCCGCAGCAGTGGGGTGGGGATGGGGCTTCTCAGCACGGTTGGGACCCAGGGAACCTCGCTGCGATTTGGGGAGGGTGGGGGGGGGCTCACCCAAAGCGCTGCCGAAGTCACCCCCGTTCCCTCGGCATCACCAGTGCGCCTCGAGAGGATGCCACCGCAGGCACCCCACATCCCTGTGTCACCACATTGGGCCTTGGGGGGGGGTCCTGAACCTAAAGTGGCACCAAAGTCACCCCACAGCACTTCAATTGGCACTGTGCCTTGTGGGATGGGGCTCCTGACCCTAAAGTGCCACCAAAGTCACCCCACAGCACTTCCACCACCACTGTGCCTTGTGGGATGGGGCTCTGACCCCAAAGCGCCACCATCACCATCACCAAAGCACCTCTCTCCATCACCACTGTGCCTTGTGGGATGGGGCTCTGACCCCAAAGTGCCACCAAAGCCATCACCAAAGCACCTCTCTCCATCACCACTGTGCCTTGTGTGGGATGGGGCTCCGACCCCAAAGTGCCACCATCACCATCACCAAAGCACCTCTCTCCATCACCACTGTGCCTTCAGAGATGGGGCTCTGACCCCAAAGTGCCACCAAAGCCATTCCACAACCCCACCACCATTAACAGTGCCTTAAGGGACGGGTCTTTTGACCCTAAAGTGCCACCAAAGCCACTCCACATCCTCGTCATCACCTCGCTGTGTCTTAAGGGATGGGGTTCCTGATGCACAAGTGCCACCAAAGCCACCCCATAACCCCACCATCAACACAAGTGCCTTAAGGGCTGGGTCTCCTGACCCCAAAGCACCACCAAAGCCACTCCTGTCCTCTCTCCATCACCAGTGCTCCTTGAGAGATGGGGCTTCTGACCCCAAAGTGCCACCAAAGCCACTCCATATCCTCATCATCACCTTGCTATGTCTTAAGGGATGGGGGTCCTGACCCCAAAGTGCCACCAAAGCCACTCCATATCCTCATCATCACCTTGCTATGTCTTAAGGGATGGGGGTCCTGACCCTAAAGTGCCACCAAAGTCACCCCACAGCACTTCCACCACCACTGTGCCTTGTGGGATGGGGCTCTGACCCCAAAGCGCCACCATCACCATCACCAAAGCACCTCTCTCCATCACCACTGTGCCTTCAGAGATGGGGCTCTGACCCCAAAGTGCCACCATCACCATCACCAAAGCACCTCTCTCCATCACCACTGTGCCTTGTGGGATGGGGCTCTGACCCCAAAGCGCCACCATCACCAGCACCAAAGCACCTCTCCATCACCACTGTGCCTTCAGAGATGGGGCTCTGACCCCAAAGTGCCACCATCACCATCACCAAAGCACCTCTCTCCATCACCACTGTGCCTTGTGGGATGGGGCTCCAACCCCAAAGTGCCACCATCACCAAAGCACCTCTCTCCATCACCACTGTGCCTTCAGAGATGGGGCTCTGACCCCAAAGCACCACCAAAGCCACTCCTGTCCCCTCTCCATCCCCAGTGCTCCTTCAGAGATGGGGCTTCTGACCCCAAAGTACCACCAAAGCCACTCCACATCCCCGTCATCCTTAAGGGATGGGGTTCCTGACCCAAAGTGCCACCAAAGCCACCCGTTTTCCCTCTCCACCACCACACCGCACCTTGAGAGATGGGTCTCCTGACCCCAAAGTGCCGCTGCAGACACCCCACATCCCCTCTGTCACCACATCGTGCCTGAAGAGACGGGTCTCCTGCCCCCAAAGTGCCACCACAGCCACCCCACAGCCCCAGTGGAAGCCCCCACGTTGTCCCCACCACCACGGTGCGCCCACCCCCTCATCCCTGCCCCATATCAATGGGGCTGACGAGGGCAGCAGCCTCCCCCACCCCCCGCCCCACAGCAGCAATAAGCCCCACCCCCAAGCGCTATAGGGTGTGCGCAAGCCCCGCCCACCCCGAAACGGACCAATCCCCTTCGAGCATCGGTATAAACCCCGCCCCCGCCCTACAATAGGCCCCGCCCCCCTGGCTACCCAAGCCCTGCCTCTCCCACGGTTGCTTAGCGACCCACAGAGTGGGGAGGCGTGGCTTGTGGGGGGGGGTGGTGGGCGGGGCTTACGGGAGGGGGGGCGTGGCCTGTGCCCCGGTGCGTCTGTGCGTGTTTATTTATTGGAGATGTTATTTATTGGGGTATTTATTGCAGAAGATCTATTCTTGTATGAACGGATTAAAGCCTTTCTCCCTGCGCCCTCCTTAGGGCCCTGCCATGGGGAAGGGAGGGGGGATGTGGGGCGGGGACGGACACCCCATCACTGGCAGCGCAGGAATGGGGGGACATGGGGGTCCTCAGTTACCCCGTCAGCAGCAGGGCAGGGGTGAAGGGGACACGGGGCTGCGAAGGGTTCCCGTCCGCAGTAGGGAAAGGTTGGGGGGAGCAGCGGGGTCCTCATCACTGACAGGGCAGGAATAGGAGGACAAAGGGGTCCCCATTACCAGCAGGGCAGGGATGGGGGGACAGGGATGACCCCAATGTCCCCATCATCAGCAGCGGTTGTGGGGGGCAGGCTCCTGGGCACATCAGGATCAGCAAGGTGTCACATCAGTGACACCAAGGGTCCGTGGAACACGAGGTGACACTGAGGGTCCCGGCGCTATGGGGTGCTGCTATGGGGTGCTGCGTGTGTTTCCCATAAGGACAGGGCTGGCCCCATGCCCAGTGCCCCATGGGCTGGACCCTGCCCGGTGCCCCCCCTATGGAGCCACCCCCTGGGCAAGGGGCACTCACTGGTCCGTGGCGGCTGGTGCCACCGTGTGCCCCATAAAGCCAGGGACCTGCTGGTGCCACCGTGTGCCCCATAGAGCCAGGGACCTGCTGGTGCCACCGTGTGCCCCATAGAGCCAGGGACCTGCTGGTGCCACCGTGTGCCCCATAGAGCCAGGGACCTGCTGGTGCCACCGGTCTCTGACGCCCACCCCAAGGCCCATTGGGACCCACGGCCACAGCACCGCTGCGGGGTGAGTGATGAAGGGATGAGGGCAGGGATGGGGATGGGGACAGGGTCCAGCCATGGGCCCCCGTCCCCGGTGTTATTGTAGGGTCTCTCAGCAGGACCATGCTGATCCTGACGTGCCCGGCTCAGCTGCAGCGCTTGGAGGGAGCCCTGCGGAGGAGCCTGCCCCTCACCCTGCCGGTGATGGGGGGGATGGGACCCCCCTTGTGTCACCCCTGCCCCGTGCTGGGACAGGGAGCCCAATGTCACCCCTGCCCCACGCCATGACTGGGACCCCTTTGTCACCCCTGCCCTGCGCCGTGGTGGGGACCCCAATGTCACCCCTGAGCTGTCCAATGACTGGGACCCCCATATCCCTGCCCCTTGCCAAGGCAGGGACCCCCATGTCCCCCATCTCCTGCCCCCAGGGATGGGGACCCCCGTAGCCCCTCTCTTGCTGCCCTCCCCCGAGGGTCCCAAGTCCAGGACAGGCGGCTCCCGGGCATCAGCCAACGGACCAATCCCAGCCCAGCTTGATTCCAAGCTAGCCAATCCCCTTTGACACCCACACAAACCAACCAATCCTCTCCCAGCCTCCCATAGAAGCCAGCCAATCCCAGCCGAGACAGTGTGAAAGCAGCCAATCCCAAGCTTCCACGCCCACTTCCCATAGCCCCACCCACTTGTGGGGCTCTGCCCCCTTTGCCTTCACCCCACACATCCCTATGGGACCCGGCGGGCTGTGGGGTGCACCCACCACCCAGGACCCCACATTTGCCCCCCTGCACCCCACAACCCATCTCAGCCCCCTTCACCCGCAGGTCTATGGGGCCGTGGTGAACATCACCCAGAGGGATTCACCCCACACATCCCTATGGGGGCAGGGTTGTGGGGTGCGCCCATTGCTTGGGAACCCCCACATCGACCTCCTGCCCCCCACATCCCATCTCTGCCCCCCTCTTTGCCGCAGGTCTATGGGGCTGTGATGAACATCAACCGGGGCAACCCGGCGGGGCTGGAGGTGGTGGTGGATGCATGGCCTGAGTTCGGTGCCGTGCTGGCGCGGCGCAGAGGAGAGGTGGCCGCGGGGAACCCCTCATGGGTGCTTGTGGGGTGGCCCCATAGAGGGTACCGATGGGCTCAGGGCACCCATGGGTGCCCCGCAGGTGCCGGTGGATGACTGCTACAGGAACACGAGCGCGGTGTTCTACCGGGACCTGGGCGCTTACCGGGCGCTGCTGGAGACCCCGGGCTGCCTGCGCTGGGATGCGGCGTTCTACATCATCGGTGGTCATGGGATGGGGGTCCTGGGGGTGATGGGAAGGGATTGGGGGTGCTGGGGTGGGAATTGGGGTGCTGGGGGCACTGGGAGCATGGGAGAGGCACTAGGTGTGGAAGTGGAGGTGCTGGGATGTGCTGGGGGAAAGAACTGGGGGTACTGGGGGACATGGGGCTGGAATTGGGGTGCTGGGGGCGTTGGTTTGATGGGTGCTGTCACCGGAGGCCGTTGTGGCTGGACCTCGGGGTGCATTGGGGGCAGCAAAGTGGGTGCTGGTGGAGCAGCCCCCCCTGACAGCGCCACCCCCAGGCCTTCAGGACGGGGTGACCGCGGTGTCAGAGGCCATTGCGGGGGCCAAGGGCATCGAGCTCGACATCTCCCATTATTACACCTACCTGCACCCCAACCCCAGCGCCATGCCCGAGCCACGGTGAGACCCCCAAACCCAGCCCCAGCCCCAACCCCATCCCATCCCCATCTCATCGCCATCCCCATCCCAGCCAATCCCCCTCCCATCCCCATTCCCAGTCTCATCCCAATCTCCAACCCTATTTGCAACCCCATCCCATCCCCATCTCATCCCCATTCCCATAACCATCTGCAAACCCCTCCCCATACCATCCCCTTCCTATCCCCAACTTCATCCACAACCCCATCTGCAACTCTGTCCCCATCCCATCCCTTCCCATCCCCATCCCTCCCCATCCCCATCCCATCCGCATCCCGATCCCACCTCCATCCCTATCCCAATCCCATCCCCATCCCCATCCCACCTCCATCCCCATCCCATCCCCATCCCATGCCACCCCCATCCCCATCCCCATCCCACCCCCATCCCCATCCCATCCCATCCCCATCTCCCCACTGACCCATCCCTCACCGCAGCCTGGATCCGGGGGTGCGGGTGGGCTCCCTGACCCCGGCACACGTGGATCTGCTCAACAAGACGTGGCCCTACGGAGGCACCGCTCGGAGCCGGCAGTACCTGGAGGAGCTGCTGCGGCTCTTCCCCAACCTCTGCCTGCGGGACGGGGCCGGGCAGCCGCTCTCCTGGACGCTGACGGATCCCTTTGGAGCCGGGACGCACGGATACACGCTCCCCGCGCACCGCCGCAGCGGGTACATGTGGACGGTGATGGTCCTGGCCGCTCGCAGGGCTCAGGCTCGTGGCTTCCCCACCTTTGGGTTCACGGCCACCGGGAACCGGCCCATGCAGCGGCTGGAGGAGGAGCTGGGTCACCAGCGCCTGCCGGGGCTGTGCTCTTACATCCTGCACAACCCCAGCCTGAAGCGAGCCTAAATCATCCCACCCCACTCCTTCCATAAACACCCCTTCGTGGGGGTCGGGAAGTGTGAGGGAGGAAACACGGCACTGAAAGCAAAGAGCGCTGTGGCTTCTCTGGTGGCTGCTATGGGGTTGTGCGGCCGCTTGGTTTTCTCACACATGGCTCAACACCGGCCGTTACAGAGCGGGTTTGGTGGTGGCACTGCTGGGGGACACAGATTTGCCCCCAGGGAGTCACCTCGTGTCTGGGCACAGACCCATAGAATCAGTGGGGCTGGAAAAGAGCAGCGCCGCCCTGGGCAGCCTGTTCCAATGCCTGAGCACCCTCTGGGGCTGGTGCAGGACACGCACCACGGCTCGTGCTGTAGGGCTCCCCATGGGAGGGCCGAAGAGCCTCAAGCACCTGCAGTGTCCCGTCCCCCCCCCCAGCCCCACGGGACGGTGTCACCGCGCTTGGGGTTGGGACCGGGCGGATGCGCTGCTTGTGGAGCCCATTGACGGGGGGCACCGAGGCAGAGCGCAGCGCGGGGCACGGTGCGAGCCGCGGCGGAGCCACCGGTGGCGGGGACAACGGGGACCGGGGACAACGGGGAAGGGGAGGGGACAGCGCCGGCCCCGCCGCTTCCGCCCCATAGGCGGGGTGTTGTGCCCTGGATACCGGTAGCAGCGCGGCCGCCGCCGCTGTCCCGCAGGCCGATGGAGCAGCCCCGGCTCATCACCGACTCCTTCCCGTTACGGCGGCGGCGGCGGCCGGGCCGAGCCCCGGGCACGCGTAAAGGCAAAGGGAAGGGCACGGGCACGGGCACGGGCACGGGCACGGGGCGTCCCCAGGTTCCAGCGGCGGAGGAGCCGCCGGGGTCCGGTCCGGATCGGAGCGTCCTGGAGATGCTGCGGAGCTTCGATCTCGCTTGGGAGTATGGCCCGTGCACTGGTGAGAGAACCGGGACCCCCACAGACCCCCCATGGAACCCCCTGGATCGCCCTATTCCCACTGATCCCCCCCCATAGGAATCACCCGCCTGCAGCGCTGGGAGCGCGCACAGGAGCTGGGGCTCAGCCCCCCGGACACGGTGCGTGATGCCCTCCTGAAGCATCAGGATGATCCCAGCGTCATCTACAAGTGGGTATTAAACAGGATGGGGGGGGGACACACAAAGTTCCCCATCCCTCTCCCGGTGTGTCCCCCCCCATGCATTGGGGGCATCCACAAGCAGGGTGGGGGGCACGCTCTGACCCCCCCCCCTTTGTGCCCCACAGCCTCTGGCACGAGTACGAGCTCTGAGCCGCTGCTGCTGCCCCCCAGCGCTGGAGGGAGCAAAGGGGGGGGCTGTGCCCGTTGCCCCCCAGGCCTGCCTGCAGCCAGGGTGCATTAAAGGGTGTGTTGAAGGACAGGGGCTGCTGTGTGCTGTGGGGAGGGGGTAGCCGGGGTATGGGGGGGTGTGTTATGGGGGTGGTACCTTGGGTAAGGCCATAGCTTGGTGCTGGACATGGCACTGGGTCCGTGTGTGCGATGAGAAGGAAGGGGATGAGTGCTATGGGGGGACCGTTGTGGTCTGAATCCCCCCTGCTCCCGTGTGTTGGTGTTCCTAGGGATGAGCAGGAGCAGGGGTGGGAGCTCTCTGTCATCCAGAGTGGGGCATGGGATGCTACAGCCCTGGAAGGGAGAGCTGGCGTGGGCAGGATGGTGCCCACCAGGGTGCTCAGCCCTGCCGGAGCTGGGGGAGTCACCCAAAGGTGAGCTTTGGCAATGGGGTGGGGAAGGAGAGGGGAGCAGCAGAGCTCTGGAGAGGGGGCAGGAGAAGGGCCATGGGATGCCCTCAGCACCCCTCACCACCGAGTGTGCTGTACACCGAGAGTATCCATGAAATCCTCCCTGAAGCTGGGATGCAGCCGGGCCCTCTGCCAGGCTCAGAATCATGGAACCATGGGATGGGTCGGGATGAAGGGAGCTTCAAGCTCCTCCAGCTCCAACCCTAACCCCTTCCACTGCAGCAGCTTGCTCCAAGCCCCTGTGTCCTTGAACACTGCCAGGGATGGGGCAGCCACAGCTTCTCTGGGCACCCTGTGCCAGCGCCTCAGCACCCTCACAGGGAAGAGCTTCTGCCTAAGAGCTCATCTCAGTCTCCCCTCGGGCAGGTTCAAGCCATTCCCCTTGGCCTGTCCCTACATCCCTTGTCCCAAGCCCCTCTCCAGGTTCCCTGCAGCCCCTTCAGGCACTGGAGCTGCTCTGAGGTCTCCCCTTCAGGAGCCTTCTCCAATGGGACCTTCCTGTGTTGGCAGCGGGGAGGGAAAAGCCGTATCAATCCCATGGGATCCCTAAGGTTAAAAGGCACCAGGAGCAGCTTTGCCGTGGGTGCAATTGTTTCATGATGAATCCCTCACAGGATGTGCTGCTTTGTCGTTTGTCTCATTTCTCGAAGCTCCTTTTGGTGCTTCCTCAATAAAATGAACTGATCACAGCCCAGACCTGGAATGAAGAGCTGGACCTCGGAGTAACCCAGGCCACGTCCTGGGAGCGGGCTGGGACGGGGCACAGCACTGGTGCCACTCACCCTGCAGGCACCGAGCCCTCCCTGTCCCATTGCTCACCCAGATCCGGTCCTGCTCGAGGAGCTTCGGGGCCAGCTCCATCTAAACCTGCCCTGGGGCAGCTTGAGGCCGTTTCCTCTTGTCCCATCCCTTGTTCCTTGGGAGCAGAGCCCAGCCCCTCCTGGCTCCATCCTCCTCTCAGGCAGTTGCAGGCAGCCATCAGGTCCCCCCTGAGCCTTCTCTTCTCCACACTGAACCCCCCAGGTCCCTCAGCCCTTCCCCATCACACCTGGGCTCCAGGCCCTGCTCCAGCTCCGTTCCCTTCTCTGGCCCCGCTCCAGCACCTCAAGGTCTCTCTTGCAGTGAGGGGCCGGGAGCTGAGCACAGGATTCGAGGTGCAGCCTCCCCAGTGCCCAGCACAGGGGCCCAATCCCTGCTCCCGGAACCGGCCCCGCGGCGCGGCCTAGGCCGCTAGGCCTGAGTGAAGCCTGCGCCCGGTTGCGTAGCAACCCGGAAGGTGCCCTGAACGCATGCGCAATCGCAGTCTCCGCGCAAGGGATGCCGGGAGCTGTAGTCCTCTCCCCGCCGCCACCGCCTCCCCCGCCACACAAGATGGCGGCGGCGCTTCGCGGTACCGGAGGTGCCGGCTCCCGGTGCCCCGGCGCCCTTGGAACCCTCCCCCGGGCATCAGCCAGGCCAGGGCCGCCCGGTTCCGCTCTTTATTGTCAGTGCTGGTGCGGGGCGGGCTCCGCCACCCCCGGTAGTGTGAAGGGAGGGGGCGTGGCCATGGGTAAGCCCCGCCCCTTCCTCCTGATTGGAGGAGAGAGGTCTCCTCGGTGTGGGCGCGGTCAGGGGGCGTGGCCTCCGTCGAGGCTGGCCTGGCGCGGCACCCGGCGCGGGCGGGACGAGGGCCGAGGCTGGGGCGGTGCTGCCGGGGGGGCCCCCCCTGAACCCGCCGGTGCCTCCGCGGCCGCGAACCCCTATGGGGAGGCCGGGGGTTGGGGGGGCTCAGGCAGTGCCGCAGCCCCGCCGCCTGCCTGCACCCCCCCGAGCCCCTGCGCTCACCTCCTCGCAGAGCGGCTCCCCGGGGGGCTCCAGCTGGCTGATGCTCCTCATGACGGCGCACAGGGAGATGCGGGGCCGCGGGGAGGCCCCCAGCACCCCCGGCACGGGCACGTCCTCAGGGGGCTGCGGGGACGGGGCCGTGCCGCCCTCGTCCCCTGGAGGCTGGGGCTCGGCCGCCCTGGGCTCCCACATGGTGCTGTGCCGGCTGACACACACCCGCCCGTCACCCCCTGACCGGGCCCACAGGCTCGGCCCACCCCGCGATGCAAACCCCGCCCACCCGCTGTGAAAGGGGCGTGGCTAAAAGGATGCTCCACCCACCATAGCCCACACCTTGGTAATATGACCACGCCCCTTATTGCTGAAGGAGGAGGGGTCACGGTGGACTCTCCAGGCTAAGGGGCGTGGTTACAGGAGACCACGCCCTCTCACTGTTGAAGGGCACATGGCAGTCCACGCCCTTCCTGTCTTAAATGGGCGTGGCCACAGGGATACCTCCTCATGGACAATGGGGCGTGGCCACACAAGATCCCGCCCACCCTACCCAAAGGAGGCGTGGTCTCCCTCGTACCGAAGGGGGCGTGGCCTCACTAAACCATATTCTGTCCCCAATGGGGGCGTGGCCTAATCAGACCCCCGCCCATCCTACATAGCTAAGCATAGGCTCACCAGCCCCCACCCTCACGAAGGGGGCGTGGCCTCATAGATCCCCGCCCTCTCCTCGCCAAGGAGGGCGTGGTCTCCGCGTGCCCCACCCTTTATGTGGGCGTGGCTCATCTCGGCCCCACCCACCTGGCGCGCAGGATGCCCTGGTAGAAGTCGAGCTGGCGCATGAAGCCGGGGTTGGGCATGGCGCCGGGCCGGCAGTGCCGCACGTGCCGCAGCGCCCGCTCCAGGGACCACCCCAACTCCTTCATGGCGTACGCCAGCACCGTGGCTGCCGAGCGGCTCAGCCCCATGCGACAGTGAACCAGCGCCCGGCCCCCGCTGGCCCTGCGGCGGGCACCCGCATGGCACTGAGTGCGTTGGGGGGACCCCCGCTGTCCCCGGGCACATCATGGCCCTGGGGGCCCCATGGCACTGGGGTCCCCGGGTTCCATGGTTCCCATTCACCTGCTGCTCCCCACGTCCCCAGGGACCTTGTTCCCAATGGTTCCCATGTTCCCAGAGCTCCCCATGTCCCCAGGGGACCTTGTTCCCAATGCTTCCCATGTTCCCAGAGCTCCCTTTGTCCCAAGAGACCTTGTTCCCCGTAGTTTCCATGTTCCCAGTGCTTCCCATATCCCCAGGGACCTTGTTCCCAATGGTTCCCATGTTCCCAGAGCTCCCATTGTCCCCAGGGACCCTGTTCCCATGTTCCCAGAGCTCCCGTTGTCCCCAGGGACCTTGTTCCCAATGGTTCCCATGTTCCCAGAGCTCCCCATGTCCCCAAGGGACCTTGTTCCCAATGGTTCCCATGTTCCCAGAGCTCCCCATGTCCCCAGGGACCTTGTTCCCAATGGTTCCCATGTTCCTAGAGCTCCCCATGTCCCCAGGCACCTTGTTCCCAATGGTTCCCATGTTCCCAGAGCTCCCCATGTCTCCAGGGACCTTGTTCCCAATGGTTCCCATGTTCCCAGAGCTCCCATTATTCCCAGGGACCTTGTTCCCAATGGTTCCCATGTTCCCAGAGCTCCCCATGTCCCCAGGGGACCTTGTTCCCAATGGTTCCCATGTTCCCAGAGCTCCCCATGTCCCCAGGGACCTTGTTCCCAATGGTTCCCATGTTCCCAGAGCTCCCCATGTCCCCAGGGGACCTTGTTCCCAATGGTTCCCATGTTCCCAGAGCTCCCCATGTCCCCAGGGACCTTGTTCCCAATGGTTCCCATGTTCCCAGAGCTCCCCATGTCCCCAGGGACCTTGTTCCCAATGGTTCCCATGTTCCCAGAGCTCCCCATGTCCCCAGGGGACCTTGTTCCCAATGGTTCCCATGTTCCCAGAGCTCCCCATGTCTCCAGGGACCTTGTTCCCAATGGTTCCCATGTTCCCAGAGCTCCCATTATTCCCAGGGACCTTGTTCCCAATGGTTCCCATGTTCCCAGTTCTCCCATTGTCCCAAGAGACCTTGTTCCCCGTAGTTTCCATGTTCCCAGTGCTTCCCATGTCCCCAGGGACCTTGTTCCCAATGGTTCCCTTGTCCCCAGGGACATTGTGCCCCATAGTCCCCGTGTCCTCAGGTCTCCTCACATTCCCAGAGACCCAATACCCCAGATCACCCCATTTCCCAGTGCTCCCAGTGTCCCCAGTGCTTCCCATGCCTACCAGTACCTCAGTCACCAAGATGCCTCCCCAGATACCCCCATCCATGTTGTGTTCCCTTCATCCTGCCCCTGACTCCAACCCCTGTCCCTCCGTGCCCCCCACATCCTGTATCCCCCTGCATTGCCCCTGTGCCCCAGGGCTGCCCTGGCCCCACTGACCGGACACGGGAGAGGAAGAGGAAGGTGTCGTTCCAGTGGGGCAGGAGCTGGGCCGTCTCCTCATCGTACACCCGCACGTTCATGTAGGTGAACAGCGCCGGGAAGAAGTTGTCGATCTCCCGCGCCACGTTCAGGATGTGGGTGACCCTGGGGCGCCACGGACAGGGGCAGGGTTGGGGATCTGCCTGTGCTCCGTGGGGGGACCCACAGCACCCCACATCCACCCCACTGCAGTGCCATAGACCTGCGGCACCCACCCTGCCACGTGTCCCATGATGACCTCCCATCCATCCCAAGAGGTGCCCTACAAAGACCCTTCAACCACCCCAATGTGTGTCCCTTGATGACCAGAGGGCCAACCCAATGGGTGCCCTACAAAGACTCCATAATCAACCCAATGGGTGCCCTACAAAGACTCCATAATCAAACCAATGGGTGCCCTACGAAGACCCCATGATAAACCCAATGGGTGCCCTACAAAGACCCCCATGATAAACCCAATGGGTGCCCTATGAAGACCCCCATGATAAACCCTATGGGTTCCCTACAAAGACCCCCATGATAAACCCAATGGGTGCCCTACAAAGACCCCCATGATAAACCCAATGGGTGCCCTACTAAGACCCCATGAGAAACCCAATGGGTGCCCTACTAAGACCCCATGAGCAACCCAATGGGTGCCCTACAAAGACCCCATGATCAACCCAATGGGTGCCCTACTAAGACCCCATGAGCAACCCAATGGTTGCCCTAAACAGACCATTCCTATCGCAGTAAGTGCCTTACAAAGACACCTTCACTACTCCAATGGGTGCCTACAAAGACCCTTTGCCCACTCCAATGGGTGCCCCATGATGACCCCATGCCCATCCAAATGGATGCCCTACAAAGACCCCACGTCCATCCCCATGGCTGTCCTTCAATGACCCCATATCCACCCATCAGCATCCCATGATGAGCCCATACCCACCTCACCCGATCATGCCATGATGACCCCATGCCACCCCCCCGAGCCCCCCCACCATCTCCCTATGCCCACCCCACCATTGTACCCCGGATGACCCCACACTCACCGGTTCTGCTGCAGCTCCTCCAAGTTGGCCGCGTTCCACTCAGATCCCTGCGTGGCGGCAGTGGTGAGCCCTGGGTTCAAGCCCTGCCCGCCCTTACCGCCGTGCCCAACCTTGCCCACCAGGTAGACGTGAGGGAAGACACGGGAGGGCCGGTCCATCTGCGCCAGCACCAGCAGCATCTCGTTGTCGATGAAGTCCTTGTGCTGGGCCAGGCTGTGCCCCGTGCGCCGCTCCAGCTCCTCCCGAACCTGGGGACCACCATGGGGTGCTGGATGCTCCTGCCCGTCCCTGCCTGTCCCTGCCTGCGGACCAGGCTCTTGGCCCCTGCCCGGGGTCACCCACCTCCTTGGAGGTGACGCTCTCCAGGTCGGCGCTGGCCATCACGTCCCGCAGCAGCGCCCGCACCGTCTGCTCCGACAGCTCCGCTGCCGCTGGCCTGGCATTGGTGTCACCACGTCACCCACCGATGGCCATGGCGCTGCCCTACGCAGGCCCTGCCTCGCCCCTACACAAGCCCCGCCTCCTCATGACCATAAAAGGGCGAAAGCTCCACCCACTTCCGTTAAACCCCACCCTATTGGCCACGCCCTCATTTTAAGCCCGTTGGAAGCGTGGAAGCTCCACCCACCTCCTTTAAACCAAACCCCATTGGCTAAATCCTGTTCCCTAAGCCCCGCCCTTAAACATGCAAGTCCCACCTCCTAATTGCCATAAAAGACGGAAAGCTCCACCCACTTCCTTTAAACCATACCCCATTGGCTACACCATTCCCTAAGCCCCGCCCTTAAACATGCAAGTCCCGCCTCCTAATGGCCATAAAAGACCAAAAGCTCCACCCACTTCCTTTAAACCATTCCCCATTGGCTACACCCTGTTCCTTAAGCCCCGCCCTTAAACATGCAAGTCCCGCCTCCTAATCGCCATAAAAGACTGAAAGCTCCACCCACTTCCATTAAACCATACCCCATTGGCTACACCGTTCCCTAAGCCCCGCCCTTAAACATGCAAGTCCCGCCTCCTAATTGCCATAAAACCCTGAAAGCTCCACCCACTTCCTTTAAACCATACCCCATTGGCTACACCATTCCCTAAGCCCCGCCCTTAAACATGCCAGTCCCGCCTCCTAATGGCCATAAAAGACTGAAAGCTCCACCCACTTCCTTTAAACCCCATCCCATTGGCCACACCCTGATTTTAAGCCCGTTCTCCTTATGACCATAAAAAGCGTGGAAGCTCCACCCACTTCCTTTAAACCATACCCCATTGGCTACACCCTGTTCCTTAAGCCCCGCCCTTAAACATGCCAGTCCCGCCTCCTAATGGCCATAAAAGACTGAAAGCTCCACCCTCTTCCTATAAGCCCCTCCCCATTGACCAAACCCCGCCCCCTCCCTCAAGCCCCTCCCTCCCCCCCCCCCTTAGCCCCGCCTCCCTCCCCAGGCGCATCGCTGATTGGCCCGCGGAGCCCGGGGGTGAGGGCGGAGCTTACGGGCACGGCGGGGGGGACGCGGGGCGCACGGACTCCAGCCCGGCCATGGCGCTCCACTCGTTGATGCAGCTCTGCTCCGAGCCCAGCTCCGCCGCGTAGCCGCGGGCCCAGCCCAGCGCCGCTCCGCCGGGGATGTGCCCCCCTCGGGACGCGTCCTCGCAGGCCCGGTGCAGCTCCTGCAGCACGGCCCTGCCACAGCGCCTCACACCGCACCCGCCCCGCACCGCGTGTGGGGCGTGAACCCTCCCCACAGCCCAACCCGGTGCGGACCCTGTGCCCGCTGCAGTGCGCGCATCATCACCCCGTCACCGTGCTGGTACCCGTGTGCCGTGCCCGTATCCCCCCTGAACGCACTGCTACCTGCGTCCCCTGCCCGCAGGGGTACCCGCAGGGGTGCCCTGGTACCCCCCCAGTGCTCGTGGGGGTGAGCCCATCCGCCTGAATATGGTGGCACCCACATCCCGTGCCCATAGGGATGATCTCATCCCCCTGAATATGGTGGTACACCCATCCACATCCCATGCCCATAGGGATGATCCCATCCCCCTGAATATGGTGGTACCCCCATCCAGTGCCCCTGGGGAGGCCTGTATCCTCTCTGATATGGTGGTACCCACATCCCGTGCCCATAGGGATGATCCCATCCCCCTGAATATGGTGGTACCCCCATCCCGTGCCCCTGGGGAGCCCCGTATCCTCTCTGGCACCCACATCCCGTGCCCATAGGGATGATCTCATCCCCCTGAATATGGTGGTACCCCCATCCCGTGCCCCTGGGGAGCCCCGTATCCTCTCTGATATGGTGGTACCCACATCCCATGCCCATAGGGATGATCCCATCCCCCTGAATATGGTGGTACCCCCATTCAGTGCCCCTGGGGAGCCCCGTATCCTCTCTGATATGGTGGTACCCACATCCCATGCCCATAGGGATGATCTCATCCCCCTGAATATGGTGGTACCCATGTCCCGTGCCCCTGGGGAGGCCCATATCCTCTCTGATATGGTGGCACCCACATCCCGTGCCCATAGGGATGATCTCATCCCCCTGAATATGGTGGTACCCCCATCCACATCCCATGCCCATAGGGATGATCCCATCCCCCTGAATATGGTGGTACCCCCATCCCGTGCCCCTGGGGAGCCCCGTATCCTCTCTGATATGGTGGCACCCACATCCCATGCCCATAGGGATGATCCCATCCCCCTGAATATGGTGGTACCCATGTCCCGTGCCCCTGGGGAGGCCCATATCCTCTCTGATATGGTGGCACCCACATCCCATGCCCATAGGGATGATCTCATCCCCCTGAATATGGTGGTACCCCCATCCTGTGCCCCTGGGGAGGCCCGTATCCTCTCTGATATGGTGGTACCCACATCCCATGCCCATGGGAATGCCCACATCCCAGCTGAGCATTGTGGGATCCATCTCCAGTGCCCACAACCTTCCCGTGATCATGGTGGTGACCACATCCTCCATGCCCATGGTGGTACCCACATCCCGTGCCCATGCAGGTGCCCACCCTGAGCACGGTGGTGCCCACGTTCCATGCCCATGGCAGTGCCCACACCCTCCCATGCCCATCCAGGGCTCACTCACCACATGGTCTGCACAGAGATGGGCTTGAAGATGCGGGTCTCTCCCCCTGACGTCACACTGAACCCTCTGAGCACCATGGGGAGACACAGGGAGGGGTATCAAGGGGGGGCACTCCAACCCCCTCCCAGCCCCTTATCCACCCTCCTAACGCCCCCCTTCCCCGGGCCCCCTCATTCCCCTTACCCATCGCCATCGAGGAAGACCTGGGTGTCGCTCCAGAGGGGCAGCACCATGCCCAGGGTGCAGCGGGAGGCCCTGGGGCGGGCAGAGGTGAGGGGGTGCAGCTGCCATCCCCCCCCCCAGCACCCCCTGAGCTCCCTGCTCACCCCTCATGGGCGAAGTCCACCCCCAGCAGCGCTGCCTCCCCCTCGGCCCCCTCCTCTTCGGGCCGCACCACCAGCAGGTACCGCACCCGCCGCGGCCGTGCTGACTCCAACCGCACCGCCTGCGAGGGACGGGGTCAGGGGGCCCTCCTGCACTGCGGGATCTGCCCCCAGGTGCCCACAGTGTCCCCGGCACGCTGCAGGGCAGGCTGGGCTGCAGCCGTCCCCTTCCATCCCCGCCTCCATCCTGGGCTCATCCCATGCTATTGTATCTCCATCCCGTTCTGTCCCATCTCCATCCATATCCCATGCCAGTCCCCATCCTCTCCCCATGCCCATCCCTTCTCCCCTTGTCCCATCCTGTCCCATCCCTATCACATCCCTGTCCCCATCCCAATCCTGTCCCATCACATGAAATCCCCATCCTGTCCTCACCTTTATCCCATCCCATCTCATCCCATCCTGTCCCATCCATATCCTGTTCCCACGCCAATACTGTCCCCATCCCAATCCTGTCCCATCACATGACATCCCCATCCTGTCCTCACCTTTATCCAACCCCATCTCATCCCATCCTGTCCCATCCATATCCCACTCCCATACTACCTCCCCCGTCCTCATCCCCATTCTGTTCCATCCCCATATGTCCCCATTCCAATCCCATCCTGGCCCATGCCATTCCCATCCTATCCCCACACACATCTCATGCCACCTCATGCCATTCTGTCCCATTCATATCCCATTTAAATCCCCATTGTATCCCCATCCTTGTCCCCATCCCCATTCTGTCCCATCCCCATCCTGTCGCCATCCTCATCCCATCCCATCCATGTCCCATTCCCCTTCTCATCCTGTCCCCATTCCCATTCTGTTCATCCCAGTCCTGCCCTTTCCCATGTCATCCCTGTCCCCATTGCATCCCATCCCATCCATATCCAATTCCCATCCCCATTCTATCCTCATCCTTGTTCCCATCTCCATCCTGTCCCCATCCCCATCCCATCCCATCCATATCCCATTCCCCTCCTCATCCTGGCCATCCCAATCCTGCCCTGTCCCATTCCATCCCTATCCCCATCGCATCCCATCCACATCCAGTTCCCATCCCATTCTACCCTCATCCTTGTCCCCATCCTATCCCATCCCACTCACAGCCCATCCCCATCCCTATCCCATCCCTGTTCTCCCTGTCCCACCAGCCGGATGGCGTCCTGTGCCCGCAGCAGCTGCATCATGAGCTGGAGGTGCTGCTCCTGCTGCCCCGGGGCCTGGCTGGGGGGCTCGGCCGGGGGGGGCTCAGCCGGGGGGGGCTCCTCGGCGGGCAGCAGCAGAGCGGCCCCTTTGACCATGACAAAGCTCTGCCTGGGGGGCAGAGGCTCCTCAGTGGGACCCACAGCATGGCCCTCATGGATGGGGGCCCCCCAAAACACTCCCCCAAATGGGAGAGAGCTGGGGCACCATGGGGGGGGATGCTCCTATCTGTGTCCCTGTATCCCATGGCCCTCATGGATGGGGGCCCCCCAAAACTCTCCACCAAAGGGGAGAGAGCTGGGGCACCATAGGAGAGGGATGCTCCTGTGTCCCTGTATCCCATGGCCCTCATGGATGGGGGGCCCCCAAAACACTCCCCCAAAGGGGAGAGAGCTGGGGCACCACTGGCGGGGATGCTCCTATCTGTGTCCCTGTATCCCATGGCCCTCATGGATGGGGGCCCCCCAAAACACTCCCCCAAAGGGGAGAGAGCTGGGGCACCACTGGGGGGGATGCTCCTATCTGTGTCCCTGTATCCCATGGCCCTCATGGATGGGGGGCCCCCAAAACACTCCCCCAAAGGGGAGAGAGCTGAGGCACCATGGGGGGGGGATGCTCCTATCTGTGTCCCTGTATCCCATAGCCCCCATCCCTGGGGACATCCCCTTCTCACCGCCGCTGCAGTTGGCCACGTCTGGGTGCATCTTCCTCCTGCAAAGTAATGGGGGGGGGGATGGCAGTGTCCCCATAGGGGAGTGTGACCCCGGGGGCACAGACCATGCTTGGGGGGGTCAGCACCCCCCCCTCCCCCAGCACATCCCACTGGGGCCAGTGACCCCCTGCAACCCCCAACCAGCAGCATGGGGGGCATTGGCTGGGCCCCATTGGGGAGCATGGGAGCCCTGGGGGGGGGGTCCCATTAGGGAGGCAGATCCCTGGGGATCAGCTCTGGGACGGCAGGGGGGGTCCTGTCCTTGTGCTCCCCCCTGTTTGCGTGCTGTAGGGGTGACTCAATCAGGCCCAATGCGAACTGGAACGGGGAGGACGGGAGCACCGGGAACCATTGGGACACCGAAGCTCCTGGGAGCACTGGGGACTGTGGGAGCCGCTGGAGACCCCCCCCTCCCGCTCCATACTCCCTTAACTACAGAGCAGTCCCCACCGGGAGCAGAGGAACCCCCCCATGTGCTGGGAATCACCCCCGGTAACGTCCCACCGGGAGCGGCCGGGATCAACCCGTCCCGGGAGGCACCGGAGCCGACTTAAATCCTTCCCCCCCCGTCCTGTTCCAAACCGCGTTGGGAGCAGCCGGGACAGCCCGACCCCCCCCCCCCGCCCCGCGCTGGTACCGGATCCGCGCTGCCCCCGCTCCCGGCCCCGTCCCGCACTCACCGCGGAGCCCCCGGCGGACCCCGCCGCCCGCCGCACCGTGACCAGCGCCATGCCCCGCCGCACCAGGAAGCGCCGTGCAGCCGCCGCCGCTGCCCCGCCCGGACGGGAACGGGAACGGGAACGGGCACGGGCACGGCCCCGGGCACGGCGCGGCCTGAAGAGGGATTTGCCCCCCCTTAGCATCACCCCCAGCCCCGGTACCACCGGACTGGCATCGGTACCACCCTCATGGTACCCCCTGCATCATCACCCCCCAGCGCTGGTACCACCGGACCGGGAACCCCCAAACACCCCCCCGCTCCCTGGGACCCGGCAGGATTCACCCTCGGGAACATAGGATCCTCCCCGAGGGACCCCCCCTTCCCAGAGCCCCTCACCCTGGCATTGTGGCTCTACTGGTTGTGCCCCCCTGGGTGCCAGCACACCCTGACCCCCTCCTTCAACCCTATGCCAAGGAGCCCTCCTCAATCCCACCCCGGAGTGGGACACCCCATCCCACCCCAAACCGGACCCCTGTTACCTTGGGACCCCCCCACCCAAGCCCCTTGGTACTCCATGGCTCAGTAGTGGGTCCCCAGGAATTATCCATGGAATACAATATACCCAGGGGAGGGAATGGGGCACTGGGGCAAGATTTTTTTTGGGGGGGGGAGGGGGAAGAAAATCCCATGGGATCCCCCCAGTGCCCCCCACATGCCATTCTTCCCACAGGCTCTGCCCCCTTCTCCCCCCCCCAGCACACTCAGCACACACGTGTATATATATATATGTATATGTATATGTACATACAAAGGGCCCCCCCACTGCCCCCAAGGGATGAGGCCTGGGGGTTCCCTGCCTGTCCCCTCAGCACCCAACCCTGGGGTGCCTTTAAATGGGGCTCAGCCGCATCCCACGGGGCCCCCCAGCTCCATCCTGCCCCCCCCCCCCCGGGATCAATGTACAACACTGAAGAGAAAGGGGGGTCCCTAGGGTGGGGATCCTGGGGACAGGGGTGCCCCTGGGGTGGGGGGCAGTCCCCAGATCAGGGTGCCTGGGCTGAGACTTGAGCCTGGAGGGAGAGGACCCCTGGGTTGCGGGTCCTGGGGATAGGAGGATCCCTGGATCAACGCCCCCCATGCGGGAGCTATGCCCTCATCCATGGGGGGTCCCGACATGGGGGTGCCATCGCGGCCCTGGCCATGCCTAAGTTGGGGTGTCCCCACGCGGGATGATGCCCACGCCAGGGTGACCCCACGCCTGATGTCCCCGAGGCGACGCGGTGCCACCGGGGTGCCCCCACCCCACGCGGGGCGTCCCCACGTACGGGTCACCCCTCTGCCGTGCAGAGCACCCCCGGGCTCTACTTGTCGGTGAGGGAGAGCCGCAGGATGCGCTGCAGCTCCTCGTCCTCCTCCCGCCGGCGCCGCTCCCGCTCCTCCTGCTCCCGCTCCGACAGCGCCATGGCCAAGCGCAGCTGCTCCGCGAAGCTGCCGTAACCGGGGGGCACCGGGGGGCCGCCACCACCGGCACCGGGGGGGGTCCCGGCGGGCAGGGTCTCGGCGCTGGGGCCCGCCTGCAGCAGCATGCTCTCCTGCAGGGCCCTGCGCGGAGCGGCAGTGAGGCCACGCCCCCTTCACAGCCACGCCCCCACCGCATGCCCAACACGTGCTATTACCCGCCCTCGGGGGTGGGCGGGGCATCCCTTTAAGCCACGCCCTCACACACACACGCCTCACCGCTCCAGCTGCAGCTCCTCGTCATAGGGCGGCGGGTCGCTGCCCGGGCGGGTATTGGTCAGCGCCTCCCAAATCGTCACCTGTGGGCGGGGCTTGCGTGAGAAGGGGGGCGTGGTTTCCCCCCCCACGAGGGGGGGCGGGGCTTTGGGGTTGGGGGCGTGGCCTCGCCTGGTCGGTCTCGGTGCCGGCGTCGAGCAGGCTCTGCTGGATGGCGAACTGCAGGAGGTCGTCGTCCTCGTCGCGCAGGGGCTCGCTGCGCCCCGCGCCCAGCACCGTGTACCCCGCGGGCACCTCGAACACCCCCGCCTCCACCTCGCACGGGAAGGGCCAGCCTGCGGCGGGGCGCGGGGTGAGCCCCCCGGGACACAGCACCCCACGCGTGAGCGGCACCCCCCGGCCCTGGCGCCCTGTGTTATCCCACACCCACAGCACCCCTAGAGCACACCGCGGTATCCCACAGCACCCTGTGGTGTCCTACGGTGGCCAATGGTACCCCACGGCATCCTAGGGCACCAGCCTGCAGCTCCCTGCATCCATGGCACCCCGTGGTGTTCAACAGCAACCCACACCCACAGCACCCTGTGATGTCCTGCGGTGGCCAGTGGTACCCCACGGCATCCTACGGCTGCCTGGACCAGCCTGCAGCTCCCTGCATCCATGGCACCCCGTGGTGTTCAACAGCAACCCACACCCACGGCACCCTGTGATGTCCTGCGGTGGCCAGTGGTACCCCACGGCATCCTAGGGCACCAGCCTGCAGCTCCCTGCATCCATGGCACCCCGTGGTGTTCAACAGCAACCCACACCCACAGCACCCTGTGATGTCCTGCGGTGGCCAATGGTACCCCACGGCATCCTAGGGCACCCAGGACCAGCCTGCAGCTCCCTGCATCCATGGCACCCCGTGGTGTTCAACAGCAACCCACACCCACGGCACCCTGTGATGTCCTGCGGTGGCCAGTGGTACCCCACGGCATCCTAGGGCACCAGCCTGCAGCTCCCTGCATCCATGGCACCCCGTGGTGTTCAACAGCAACCCACACCCACAGCACCCTGTGGTGTCCTACGGTGGCCAGTGGTACCCCACGGCATCCTACGGCACTCAGCACCAGCCTGCAGCTCCCTGCATCCATGGCACCCCGTGGTGTTCCACAGCAACCCACACCCACAGCACCCTGTGATGTCCTGCGGTGGCCAATGGTACCCCACGGCATCCTAGGGCACCAGCCTGCAGCTCCCTGCATCCATGGCACCCCGTGGTGTTCAACAGCAACCCACACCCACAGCACCCTGTGGTGTCCTACAGTGGCCAGTGGTACCCCATGGCATCCTAGGGCACCAGCCTGCAGCTTCCTGCATCCATGGCACCCCATGGTGTTCAACAGCAACCCACACCCACAGCACCCTGTGGTGTCCTACAGTGGCCAGTGGTACCCCACGGCATCCTAGGGCACCAGCCTGCAGCTCCCTGCATCCATGGCACCCCTTGGTGTTCAACAGCAACCCACACCCACAGCACCCTGTGATGTCCTGCGGTGGCCAGTGGTACCCCACGGCATCCTAGGGCACCAGCCTGCAGCTCCCTGCATCCATGGCACCCCTTGGTGTTCAACAGCAACCCACACCCACAGCACCCTGTGATGTCCTGCGGTGGCCAGTGGTACCCCACGGCATCCTACGGCACTCAGCACCAGCCTGCAGCTCCCTGCATCCATGGCACCCCGTGGTGTTCCACAGCAACCCACACCCACAGCACCCTGTGATGTCCTGCGGTGGCCAATGGTACCCCACGGCATCCTAGGGCACCAGCCTGCAGCTCCCTGCATCCATGGCACCCCGTGGTGTTCAACAGCAACCCACACCCACAGCACCCTGTGGTGTCCTACAGTGGCCAGTGGTACCCCATGGCATCCTAGGGCACCAGCCTGCAGCTTCCTGCATCCATGGCACCCCATGGTGTTCAACAGCAACCCACACCCACAGCACCCTGTGGTGTCCTACAGTGGCCAGTGGTACCCCACGGCATCCTACGGCACCCAGGACCAGCCTGCAGCTCCCTGCATCCATGGCACCCCATGGTGTTCAACAGCAACCCCCACCCACAGCATCCTGTGGTGTCCTATGGCACCCTATGGTGACCCACAGCACCCTGTGATGTCCTGCGGTGGCCAGTGGTACCCCACGGCATCCTACGGCACCCAGGACCAGCCTGCAGCTCCCTGCATCCATGGCACCCCATGGTGTTCAACAGCAACCCCCACCCACAGCATCCTGTGGTGTCCTATGGCACCCTATGGTGACCCACAGCACCCTGTGGCAACCCATACCTCATGGCATCCTACTGTACCGCGTGGTGTTGCATGGCACCCACCACCCATGGTACCCCATGATGTCCTATGGTACCCCACAGCACCCTCTGGCATCCCACACACATTGCACCCCATGGAATCCTAAACCCGTGGCACCCTGTGGCGTCTCACAGCACCCCAAACCCACAACACCTGACGGTGTCTGATCAATGGCATCCCACAGCACCCTGTGACATCCCACACCCATGATGACCCATGGAATCCCACGGCACCCTGTGGCATCCCACAGCACCCCACACCCGTGGGCACCCTGCTCCCCCTGAGCACCCTGCACCCCACGACCACACCACCCTGTATCCAGTGTCCCCCCCAAGACCCCTCATCCTGAGCACCCACAGCACCCATCCCCATGGACATCCTGGTGGTACCCAGGGACCCCCCCCCCCCAGCACCCCCATCCCCAGGGCACCCCCAGCCTCACCTCTGTTTCCGGGGGGCTGGGTGCCGGGGGGCTGCGGGGGGGCGCACACCCGCACGGAGCCCAGGGGCTGGTCGCACCCACAGAGGTTGCTGAAGGTGATGCGGGCGTTGAGCACGTGGAACAGGGGGATCTCTGGGGTGGGGAACGACACGGACACACACGGGGGTCATTGTCCCCATCCCATTATAAGCCCTGCCCCATATAAACCCTGCCCCACACGAGCCCCCCCCTCCCCTCACCGATCTTGACGGGGAAGCCGGGGGGCAGCTTGAGGGTGATGAAGTCCCTCAGCTTGGCGAAGTGCGCGTTGGAGATGGCCATGAGGTCGATGATGGGGGTCACCTGCTCCGCCAGCGACAGCGGGTGCTGCTCGCACAGCCACAGCGTCGCCTTGAACCTGTGGGCACCGGCGGGGGCCGCGGGGACCCCGGCAGCGATGTGGGGCAGGGACACCGGCACCACCCCCATAGGGTGCTGCTGTGGCCATGGGACCCATCACCCTTGCCATGGTCCTGGCACCCAGTGCTGTGCCCATGGGACCCATCAGCACCCCAATGGGTCCTGGCACCCAGTGCTGTGCCCATGGGATCCATCAGCACCCCAATGGGTCTTGGAACCCAGTGCTGTGTCCATGGGACCCATCCGCACCCCAATGGGTCCTGGCACCCAGTGCTGTGCCCATGAGATCCATCAGCACCCCAATGGGTCCTGGCACCCAGTGCTGTGCCCATGGAACCCATCAGCACCCCAATGGGTCTTGGCACCCAATGCGGGGCCCATGGGATCCATCAGCACCCCAATGGGTCCTGGCACCCAGTGCTGGGCCCATGGGATCCATCAGCACCCCAATGGGTCCTGGCACCCAGTGCTCTGTCCATGGGACCCATCAGCACCCCAGTGGGGCCTGGCACCCAGTGCTGTGCCCATGGGATCCATCAGCACCCAATGGGTCCTGGCACCCAGTGCTGTGCCCATGGGACCCATCAGCACCCCAATGGGTCCTGGCACCCAGTTCTGTGTCCATGGGATCCATCAGCACCCCAATGGGTCCTGGCACCCAGTGCTGTGTCCATGGGATCCATCAGCACCCCACTGGGTCCTGACACCCAGTTCTGTGTCCATGGGGCCTATCAGCACCCCAATGGGTCCTTGCACCCAGTGGCACACCCCTGCGACCCTGTCACATCCCCAATGGGTCCTTGCAACCAGTGCCACATCCCAGCGATGCCATCACCACCCCATGGTCCTGGCATGTCCATGGGACCCTCCACTACCCTGAGGGTCCTGATACCCAGTGCCAAATCCCTGGGACCCATCAGTATGCCAACGGGTCCAGTGCCACATCCCATGGACCCCATCACCACCCCAATGGGTGCTGACACCCATCCCTGCGACCCTGCCAGCACCCCAATGGGTCCTTGCAACCAGTGCCACATCCCTTGCACCCCATCACCATCCCAAGGGGTTCTGCCCCCATCCCTGTGCCCCTGGCGCTGGCCTCACCTCTGCACCTTGCTGGACATCTCAATGGGGCGCCCGATGTTGCGGGTCTCCAGGTCGAAGTGGGGGTCGAAGTACTCCTCGGGGGTGATGGCCGTGGGGTTGGTGGGGCTGGCGGCCTGCAGCACGGGCGCCTGGGGGGCACTGGCACTGCTCAGCCACGGAAGGGGGACCCCAGCACATAGGGGTGCCCCCAGGGACCCCCCCCCAGCCCAGTCACTCACCCCATTGTGGGTGCTGTGCTGCTGCGCGATGCCCAGGAAGGAGTGGAAGGGGGTCTTGGAGCCTGGATAGGGGAAGAGGTGGGGTTAAGCATGGGCAGGGGGCACAGCACCCCATGGCTGTCCCAGGTGCTGTGGGGCTCACCCCGCATGGGGTCCTATGCAGAGGGTGCCATACCCCATGGGGCATCCCCAGCACCCCGCACTTGACGGGTGGCACCTTGCACCCATGGTGACTCATGCATGATGGGAGACACCCAGCACCCATGATGTCCCAAGCACACCCCACACATTGCTCCACTCATGATGAGTCACATCCAGCACCCACAGCATCCCACACCTGACGAGCGACGCCCTGCAGTGTCCCATGCCCTATAGGTTACCCTCAGCACCTATGATGACTCACACGTGATGGGTGACACCCTGCACCAATGGTGACCCACATGTGATGGGTCCCATCCCACAGCATCCCACAAATGACAGGGCACCCCCACCACACGCAGTATCCCATGTCTGATGGGTGACATCCCAAACCTGATGGGTGACCCCCAGCACCCCACACCCGACGGGTGACTCTCTGCACCCATTGTGTCCCAAACCTGATGGGTCACATTCCACACATCATCCCATGCCCCATGGGTGGCACCCTACAGCACCCCATGGCTGATGGGTCACACCAGCATCCCCATTGTCCCCCCAGGAAAGGGGCGGTCCCACTGCAGCCGCGCTCCCTGATTGGATGCTGGTGATGCTGCTCTCCCTGATTGGCCACCGCTGTCACCTTTGCTGCGGGACTTGTCCTGGTCGGAGAGATGCTCGGTCCTGGTCTTGGTGACCAGCTCCACGTTGCTGGCGCTGTACACCTGAGAGGGGGCAGGATCAGCGCCCCACTGCCCCCCCATGTCCCCATTGTCCCCCCCCCATGTCCCCGTGCCCACCTTGGCCTCGTAGCCGCTCACCACCTCCATCTTCTCCGAGCGCCAGCCCCAGATCCCAGACTTATTCCTGCCACAAAGGAAGCTCCTCGTGTGCTGCTCATCCTCTTGCACCCGGCCCCACCCCATGCGCTCCTGCCCCACAGCTCGGCACCCCCGTGGCGCTCTGGGGGTGCCAACCCACCTCTCGAAGGCGATGTTCCTGGTGTCGAGGTGCGTGGAGACGATGGGGGACGTCAGCCGCCCGGCCACGTGCTCCTCGGAGGGCTGCATGGCCGCCAGCAGCAGGTCGGGCTCGTGCAGGGCCAGCGCCAGTGTCTCCGTGTAGACCACTTGCTTGTCGTGGTCCACCTCCATCACCACTGCTCCTTCATCTGGGCACGGGGGGGGGGACGTGGGTCAGTGACTGCCATTGGCACCCCACCCCAACACCCCTAAAACAAGGGGTCCCTGGGTTTAGGGGGCATCTGGGAGGTCCTGGGGAGGGCAGCTGAAGGGTCCTGGTGGGTGTGGGATGAGATGGGCCCACGAGGGTGGAAGAAGTGGGGTTCCCAAGAGGTTCCTATTGGGGATCTGAGGTCCTTATCCTACCCGTTGTAGTATATGGGTATATATGGTATATACTGCCCATTGTAGTATATGGGTATATATGGTATATTCTACCCATTGTAGTATATGGTTATATATGGTCCATATATGACCCACTGTAGTATATGGGTATATATGGTATATACTACCCATTGTAGTATATGGGTATATATGGTCCATATATGACCCATTGTAGTATATGGTCCATACACCTACTACCTACTATGGTCCTACTACCCATTGTAGTATATGGACATATATGGTATATACTACTCACTGTAGTATATGGTCCTTATCCTACCTATTGCATATGGGTATATATGGTATGTACTACCCATTGCAGTATATGGGTATATATGGTATGTACTACCCATTGTAGTATATGGGTATATATGGTATGTACTACCCATTGTAGTATATGGGTATACATGGCATGTACTACCCATTGTAGTATATGGGTATATATGGTATATACTACCCATTGTAGTATATGGGTATATATGGTATATACTGCCCATTGTAGTATATGGGTATATATGGTATATACTGCCCATTGTAGTATATGGGTATATATGGTATATACTGCCCATTGTAGTATATGGGTATATATGGTATGTACTACCCATTGTAGTATATGGGTATATATGGTATGTACTACCCATTGTAGTATATGGGTATATATGGTATGTACTACCCATTGTAGTATATGGGTATATATGGTATATACTGCCCATTGTAGTATATGGGTATACATGGCATGTACTACCCATTGTAGTATATGGGTATATATGGTATGTACTACCCATTGTAGTATATGGGTATATATGGTATACACTACCCATTGTAGTATATAGTCCATATACGACCCATTGTAGTATATGGGTATATATGGTATATACTACCCATTGCAGTATATGGGTATATATGGTATATGGTCCATACACCTACTACCTACTATGGTCCTACTATGTATATACTACTACCCATTGTATGTATATGGGTATATATGGTATGTACTGCCCATTGTAGTATATGGGTATACATGGCATGTACTACCCATTGTAGTATATGGGTATATATGGTATGTACTGCCCATTGTAGTATATGGGTATACATGGCATGTACTACCCATTGTAGTATATGGGTATACATGGCATGTACTACCCATTGTAGTATATGGGTATATATGGTATATACTACCCACTGTAGTGTGGAGTTGGGGGGTCCTGGTAGGTGTCAGTGAGGTGGTCCCTATACTGCGGGAGAACCGGGGCTCCCGAGAGGTGCCTATTGGCACCCTGAGGTCCTTATGGGGGTGCGCTGCGGTGCGTGGGTGCTGCGGTGCCGCTGGCGGCTCCCCGTGGGGCACTGACCTTCCCCCTTGAAGATGTAGCTGCGGCGCCCGCGCTGCCACGTCATGTGCTCGAAGCCCAGGAGCGTGGTGTCCACGCGCAGGCTCTCGCCGCGCTTCCACACGCGGTACACGTCGCTGGGGCACACCTTGGACACCAGCGGCACTGCGGCACACGGGTGCGCCCCGTCAGTGCCACGGCACCCGGGGGGGGGGGTACCCCCAGAGCCGTGGGCCCCCGCTCACCCCAGCTGGTGAATTCCCACTTCATCTCCACGTAGAAGTCGGATGCCTGGAAGAGACGGAGCAAGCGCTGGGATGCTGCGGGTACCTGATGGGGTCATTGGGGATGGGGAGACTTGGGCAGGGGTTGGGGTCCTAGGTGGGGATCCCGGTGTTCCTGACCCTTCCAGTCTCTTCCAGTGCTCCCAGTCCACCCTAGTGGTCCCAGTCTCTTCCAATGCTTCCAGGGTTACTAGTCCCTTCAGTGCTCCCAGTCCACCCCAGTGCTCCCAGTCTCCCACAGTGTTCCCAGTCCCTCCAGTGCTCCCAATCCCCAGTGCTCTCAGTCCACCCCAATGCTCCCAGTCACCTCCAGCGATCCTGATCATCCCAGTATACCCTGGTGCTCCCAGTCTCTTCCAATCCTCCCAGTCTCCCCTAGTGCTCCCAGTCCCTCCAGTGCTCCCAATCCCCAATGCTCCCAGTCTCCCCAGTGATCCTGATCATCCCAGTATACCCTGGTGCTCCCAGTCTCTTCCAATCCTCCCAGTCTCCCCAGTGATCCTGATCATCCCAGTATACCCTGGTGCTCCCAGTCTCTTCCAATCCTCCCAGTCTCCCCTAGTGCTCCCAGTCCCTCCAGTGCTCCCAATCCCCAATGCTCCCAGTCTCCCCAGTGATCCTGATCATCCCAGTATACCCTGGTGCTCCCAGTCTCTTCCAATCCTCCCAGTCTCCCCTAGTGTTCCCAGTCCCCAGTGCCCCCACTCTGTTCCAATGCTCCCAGCCCACCCCAGTGCTCCAACCCCCCCCCATCTCTCCCAGCTCATCCCAGTGCTCCCAGTCCCCACTGCTCCCATTGGGCTCTCGCACCGGGACCTGCAGAGAGCCCAATGGGATTAACCCGGGGCTCCCTGTGACAGCAGCGGGACCAGGGGGGAGCCGTGCCCCGGGGGGTCCCCGCCGGGCTGTGGCCCCCCCTCCTTGCGCACCCTCCGCAGCTTGCTGAGCAGCTCGGGGATGCCGGCGAGGCGCCGCGTCGCCCGCTGGTAGTCTCGGTACTGCAGCACGAGCTGCACCATCTCGGGGTCCCCGGTGCTCACGGCCTCCTGCAGCACTGGAGGTTGGGGGGGGGGGGCACAAGCAGAGTGAGGGGGTCAAGGCCGGGGACACCCCCCCCCCCCCACACACACACCCGCATTCCCCCCGGCATCACCCCCCGGTACCGGTCCAGCCGCCGGCGTTCTCGCGGCCCACGTTCGCGTTGTGCCGCAGCAGCACCCGCACCGACTCCAGGTGCCCCAGCGCCACCGCCAGCTCCAGCGGCGTCCGGCCCCGCGGGTCCGGCAGCTCCACGTCGTGCTGGGGACGGGCAGCGGCAGCCGTGTCCCCACCCCGGGTCACCCACCCCGGTATCACCCGCGCCGGGTCACCCGTGTCCCCATCCCATGGTTCCCTGTCACCAGTACCGGTATCACCCATATCCCCATCCCATGGTCCCCCTGTCATCAGTACCGGTATCACCCATGTCCCCTGTCACCAGTACCGGTATCACCCATGTCCCCATCCCATGGTTCCCTGTCACCAGTACCGGTATCACCCATGTCCCCATCCCATGGTTCCCCTGTCACCAGTACCAGTATCACCCATGTCCTCATCCCATGGTTCCCCTGTCATCAGTACCAGTATCACCCATGTCCCCATCCCATGGTTCCCCTGTCACCAGTACCGGTATCACTCATGTCCTCATCCCATGGTTCCCCTGTCACCAGTACCGGTATCACCCATGTCCCCATCCCATGGTTCCCCTGTCATCAGTACCGGTATCACCCATGTCCCCATCCATGCATCACCTGTGTCACCATTCCTGCAGCACCCATGTCTCCATCCCATGTCTCCCAGGTCCCCAGCACCCATGTCCCCATCCTGTGTCACCCTTTTCCCAATCCCATGGCACCCATGTCCTGAGCACCATGTCACCCATGTCCCCATCCCCACATCACCCGTGGACCCATCCTACATCACCTGTGTACCCATCCCATATCCCTGCGACGCCCATGTCCTCATCCCACATCACCCATATCCCCATCTCGTGTCACCCGTGTCCCCATTCTGTGTCCCTATCCCCTGGCACCCATGTCCCCCTCCCACATCACCCATGTACCCATCCCGTGTCACCAAACCTGCATCACCCGGGTCCCCATCCTGCATCACCCATGTCCCCAGGCCCACATCCCAAAGCAACCAAGACCCAGTGTCCCCCCACTCCCAGTTCCCCTCCATCTCCAGTGCTCCCAGTTCTCTGCTGTCCCAGTGCCCCAACCCTCAGCGCTCCCAGTACCACAGAGCCCCCAGTCTCCCTCTACCTCCAGAGCTGCTAACCCAGTATCCTAATCCCAGTGCTCCCAGTTGCTTCCAGCCCCCTGGCACTACCATCCTCCAGGATCCCAGTCCTCCCAGTCCCACCTGGTATCCCAGATCCTCCCATCATCCCTTACTGCCCCCAGTCCCTCCAGTACGCCCAGTCCCTCCAGTGCTCCCAGTCCTCTCAGTACCTCCAATGCTCCCAGCTCTCCCCCAGTGCTCCCAGTCCCCTCCAGTCCCGTCCCCCCCCAGTCCCCCCATTCCCCTGCGCCCGCAGCTCCCCCAATCCCCTCAGTTCCTTCCAGTGCTCCCGGTCCCTCGCAGTGCTCCCAGTCCCCTGTGCCCATATCTCCCCCAGTCCTCCCAGTTCCCTATAATGCTCCCAGTCCCCCGCAGTGCCCCCAGTCCCCTGTGCCCACAGCTCCCCCAATCCCCTCAGCTGCTTGCAGTGCTCCCGGTCCCTCTCAGTGCCCCCATTCCCCTGCGCCCGCAGCTCCCCCCAATGCTCCCGGTCCCTCTCAGTGCCCCCATTCCCCTTCGCCCGCAGCTCCCCCCAATGCTCCCTCTCAGTGCCCCCATTCCCCTGCGCCCGCAGCTCCCCCAATCCCCTCAGTTCCTTGCAGTGCTCCCAGTCCCCTCCAGTGCTCCCAGTGCCCCCATTCCCCTGCGCCCGCAGCTCCCCCCAATCCCCCCGGTCCCTCGCAGTGCTCCCAGTCCCCTGTGCCCGTATCTCCCCCAATCCTCCCAGTTCCCTAAAATGTTCCCAGTCCCCTGCGCCCGCAGCTCCCCCAATCCCCTCAGTTCCTTGCAGTGCTCCCAGTCCCCTTCAGTGCTCCCAGTGCCCATATTCCCCTGAGCCCGCAGCTCCCCCCAATGCCCCCGGTCCCTCTCAGTGCCCCCGGTCCCCTGCGCCCGCAGCTCCCCCAGTCCCCTCAGTTCCTTGCAGTGCTCCCAGTCCCCTCCAGTGCTCCCAGTGCCCCCACTCCGCTTCGCCCGCAGCTCCCCCCAGTCCCCTCAGCTGCTTGCAGTGCTCCCAGTCCCTCTCAGTGCCCCCATTCCCCTGCGCCCGCAGCTCCCCCAATCCCCTCAGCTGCTTGCAGTGCTCCCAGTCCCCTCCAGTGCTCCCAGTGCCCCCATTCCCCTTCTCCCGCAGCTCCCCCCAATCCCCCCGCTCCCTCTCAGTGCCCCCAGTCCCCTGCGCCCGCAGCCTCCCCATCGCCCGCAGTCCCCGGTAGCGCTCCCGGTCCCCCCAGCGCCCGCAGCTCCCCGTTGTGCCCAATCCCCGCCCCTGCTCCCGCAGCCTCCCCCGTTGCTCCCGGTGCCCCCGCCGCTCTCGCCATCCCCTCCCGTTCGCCGGGGGGGTGCGGTGCGGGCCCCACCGTTCCGGAGCGCAGGGCGCTGTCCAGCGCCTGGTGCCGGTTGTGCCAGACGAGGCGGTGCAGCGGGAACGTGTGCGCGGCTCCCGCCATCCCCGCACCATGTCCCCGGGCGGCCGGGCCGCAGCGCCGGGGCCTGCCCGCAATGGCTGCGCGCGGGGGCGGCGGCGGCGGCGCACAGCGGCGGCGCGGGGCGGGGCCGGCACCGGGCACCAGGGGCGAGGGGCACCGGAACCGGCACCGGGGGTAACGGCGGAGGGAACCGGGAAGCAGCGACAGGAACCGGAACTGGCACCGGGGAACGGGGACCGGAACCGGCACCGGGGGTAACGGGGACAGGAACCGGCACCGGGGGTAACGGGGACAGGAACCGGCACCGGGGGTAATGGGGACCGGAACCAGGGGTAACGGGGACAGGAACCGGCACCGGGGGTAACGGGGACAGGAACCGGCACCGGGGAACAGGGACCGGAACCAGGGGTAATGGGGACAGGAACCGGCACCGGGGCTAATGGGGACCGGAACCAGGGGTAACAGGGACCAGAACCGGCACCGGGGGTAATGGGGACAGGAACCGGCACCGGGGGTAACGGGGACCGGAACCGGCACCGGGGGTAATGGGGACCAGAACCGGCACCGGGGAACTGGGACAGGAACCGGCACCGGGGGTAATGGGGACAGAAACCGGCACCGGGGAACAGGGACTGGAACCAGGGGTAACGGGGACCGGAACCGGCAGCCGGGGTAGCGGGGACAGGAACCGGCACCGGGCAACGGGGACAGGAACCGGCACCGGGGGTAATGGGGACAGGAACCGGCACCGGGGGTAACGGGGACAGGAACCGGCATCGGGCAACGGGGACCGGAACCAGCACCGGGTGTAACGGGGACCGGAACCGGCACCGGGGACCGGGGGTAACTGTGGTAGGAACCGGAAAGCAGCGACAGGAACCGGCAACGGGGCTAACAGTGACCGGAACCGGCACCGGGGCAACAGCAACGGGAACAGGGAACTGGCACCGGTTCCCGGGGGCAACCATCTCCCAGTTCCCCTCCATCTCCAGTTCCCCCAGTCCCTGTCCCAGTGTCACCAGTCCCTCAGTGCTCCCGGGGTCTCCGGTCTTCCTGTACCTCCAGTCCTGTTACCTCAGAACCCTGATCCCGGTGCTCCCAGCGACCGGAACCGGCACAGGGGCAACGACAACCAGGATCGAACACCAAGGGGCACCGGCACCTGAGCAGTGCGGGCACCGGGCGCGGCGGGGTGTGGGGCAACAGCAACCGGCATCCGGCCCCTGACACCGGCACTAACGGCGGTGCCTCAGGCATCGGGACCCTCCTTGCCCCGGCCCGGGCTGCTCCCGGGTCCCGGCACCCCCCTAATATTTCCCATTGCGATCCCTGTGGGGTCCCGGGGCTCCCCTCCCCTTTTCTGCCTTAAACCTCAGCCCCGGGGCAGCGACCGGGACCACCCAGGTTTGCTCCCATCCCCATCCCACCCCATCCCATCCCCATCCCCATCCCATCCCCATCCCCATCCCTTCTCCACCTCTCCCTCGAGCTGTTTTGCTCCATCCCTTGGCGCCGGCACAACCCCATCATCAGACACCCGAGAGTCCCCGCGCCGCAGGAATGCCGGGACGCCGGCCCGGCGCTGCCTGCGGGCTGGGTGCAGGCAGGGAACAGGATGGGTGCGGGCAGGGGAGGTGCTCCCTGCACATCCCCACAGCAAGATCAAGCCACACGACCCCCAGCACCCACCTTGCCCGAGACCTGCATCCCAAAGCAGGGGGCACAGGGGATGCCTGCCCCCCCCCCCCAATTCCATGGAGCCACACGAAGTTTTTCCACATTTTTACTATAAAACCTCTTTTTTTTTTGGCATTCTCACATCTCTGCTCATTAAAACCTCACTCACCAACAGCCCCAGCCCTGCCCGGTGCCAGCCCCCCCATCCCCGCTGTTACCCCTGAAGCAGAGCAACCGGGGACCAGCATTTACAGGGACCGCAGTGCGGCCCCAGCAGCTCCCCTCTCCCTCAGCCCCCTGTGCCCCTCAGCTTAGGGGGACGCTGGGAGTGTTTCCCTCCCCCTTACCCAAGGGGGTGGCAGGGGCAGAGCCGGGGGGCACGGGGGACCCGTGGCACCGTATTTACAGGGGTCCCCCTGGGGCACACTCACACCTTCACTCACACACACCAAGGACTCGGCCCCCACACAAGGGGCAAAGGCGACGATGGGATGGGGAGGGATGAGCTGACCGGGTCCCTGCCCGGCCGGCGCTGGGCACCCCGCTCGCCCCATTTGGCACACACGGAGCGGTGGCGAAGCGGGTGGGCACGGAGCGGGGCCGCGGGGGCTACCTTCATCTGAGCCGGAGAGATGGGGGGGGGACCACGCGCACCGGGGAGCGGTGCTGGAGCGTGGCCCCCAGCGCCAGCTCCGCACCGGGCGTCCTCCGGGAGCCTTGGGCACACGGGAACCCAACCCAATAAATAAGGGGAGGGACGGGGCTGGGATGGGGGGGCCGCAGGCAGCGGTCAGAGCCCGTTGGTGGAGCGCTGGATGAAGGGCACTTTGCTGAGCTCCACCACGGGCGAGCGGGGCTTGTTCTGCATCCGCGGCACCCGCTGCAGGAGCTGCTGCGCCTGGCGCTGGGCGTCCCGCAGCTCCTTCCGCCACTGCACCAGCTCGGGGTCGCTCTGCGCAGGGCAGGGTACGGGTCACACACAAGGGGCTGCCCCCCAAGACTGCAGTGTTTGTGCCCCGTGGAGGGCTGAACACGCAGGGCTGGTGGGCAGCAGCAGGCAGGGGGTGGTGAGCGCCCAAGCGGGGTGGCACGGGTTGGTTAGCACCCAAAGGAGATGGGCAGGAGGTGGGGAGCGCCGGGCAGGGTGATGCAGGGCACACTCACATCGCACTGCAGCACGAACTGCTTGCCCCCACGGATGCGGAGCAGGATGCACTTCCGCTCCTTCACCTGCGTCTCCTCCACCGAGTCGATCTCCTCCATGGTGAGCAGGGACTGCTGTGGGGGGACAGGCTCAGCCTGGCCCGTGCCTCACTGCGGTCACCCCATCCACACCCCCCCCCAAAAGCCCTTCGCAGCGCCACAGCTGGCCCTGAGCACCCCTCAACCCCATTCCCAGCACCCACGGGTGCTCGCCCGCCTTACCGGCGACTCGCCCTCCCCGCGCCACTCCAGGCGGTTGGGGAAGAGGTAGAAGTAGCGGCGTTGCCACTGCGTCAGGAAGGGGTTGCCCAGCTTGGCCATGTACCCGTGCATGATGCAGTCCTTGCCCATGGCGTACTCTGTGCCCGGCGCGCCGGGGGGAGGCAGGGTCAGCACTGGGGGCTGTTGTAGGCACACACACACACACACAAAAGGGGGGGGGTCACCCGGCCCCACTCACCCTCCTCATGGCCCAACTGCTTGTTCTTGGCCTTCTTGCGAGCCTCCAGCTTGTCGGTGTCGGCGTTGACGGCCTCGAACACGGTCTCCGTCACCTCCTGCTGCCACCGCTCCGAGATGGTGAGCGGGAAGTTGCGGTACAGCTCCTGGTCGCTCTCCAGGAGCTGGCAGGGGACAGGCAGGAGGCTGGGTCAGGAGCCCGCTGTCGGCTCAGCACGGCCCCTGCTCGGCCCCTCCATCCCCTTTACCTTGATGCCTTTGGTGTCCTCCTCATCGAAGGAGCCGATGTCGAAGGCATCGGCCGCGTTCACCTCGCCGCGGGGTGGGATCAGGGGCGGTGGGTACTGCAGGCAGGGAGCGGGGTTTAGAGGGTGCTGCCTGCACCCCCCGCAGCCCTTCCTGCACCCCTGGAGCCCTCACCCTCACCTTCTGCAGGAAAACCATCTGCCAGTCCAGCCCCTTGAAGAAGGGCTCCTCCTTCACCTCCTGAGCCCTGGGGAGCGAGCGGGGTGAGCGCTGCAGGCTCCTGCCCTGCCTGCCTGCCCCAGCCCACCGGGACTCACCCGCGGCCCATGCAGCCCAGGCGCCGGTTCACGTCCCGCTGCAGCAGCCCCTCGAGCAGGGAACGGAGCTCCGGGGAGAAGGAATCGGGCAGCTCGACGGCCTGGGGGACAGGACACGGTCACCAAGGCCACCACGGAGCACGCGAGCATCAAGGCACAACGGGGGACAGGGATGCTCCGCGTGCGCCGACCCACACGGGGATGGGCCCCAGCTCACCATGGTGAGGGTCATCCGGTCGATCTCATGCTTGTCCTTGGTCTTGTGCTGCCGAAAGGGGCTGTGGCTGTGGTGGTGAGGGGAGAAGGGACTCAGCGGTGCCCATCCACACCCCCCGGTGCCCAGCGGTGCCTGCACACTCACCCCCGGAGCAGCTTGAAGAGCATGCAGCCCAGTGAGAACCAGTCGGCGCTGCTGTCGTATGCCACTCCTTTCTGCAGCACCTCCGGAGCCATGTACCCATGGGTGCCCCTGTAGGGCACAGAGCGGGCTCGGGGGCTGTGCCAGGCCAGGGGTTCAGGGCTTTGGGGGTGCAGGCACACTCACACACTGGCATGAGGCTTCTTCTTGGAGAAGTCACAGGCCAGGCCCAGGTCTGAGATGCGGACGTGCCCAAACTCGTCCAGGAGGATGTTTGCTGGCTGCCAAGACATGGGGTGTTCCTTGAGCCCGAGCGCTGGCAGCAGGGCTGCGGGTGCCCCATGGGGTGCTCTGTGGGGTTTGGGGGTGTCCACAGCACTGAGGGGCCTGTGGGACTGGGAAGTGCCACTGGAGTCCCCCATCTCCCCCCACCCCGAGGTCTCAGGGTACCTGTGGAGTTTGGGGGGTTCCTGCAGGGTCATGGGTGGCCACAGGACGTGAGGGTGCCCTCTGGGCTTGGGGGATGCCACAGGGTGTGCGGATGTCTGTGACACCCATGGGTGCCCACGGGGTGCAGGAGGTGCCCACAGGGGCGTGTGTGAGCACGGGGTGGTCACCTTGAGGTCTCGGTACACCACGAAGCGGCTGTGCATGTGCTCCAGGCCCAGGATGATCTCAGCTGCGTAGAACCTCATCTCTGCCTCCGAGAAGACCCCGTGCTGGGACAGGTGATAATGCAGGTCTCCCCCTGTGACAACAGGGACCAGCTCTCACCCTGGTACTGCTCTCTGCGCGCAAGGGGTCCATGGGGACCGGGGCTTCTCACCATTCATGAGGTCGAGGATGAAGCTGAGCTTGTCGGGC